AGAGAGAGGGTGGGGGAGGGAGGGAAAGTCCCAATAAATAGAGCAGGCTAACTTCTGTGAAGATAGGCACATAAAGCCATTATCTCAGGCATGTTTCCAGATGCACTGCTGTTGCATAGCATTGCAATAGTGACTTATGGTATGAAATAATTGAACGTTATAATAATAATTTCAATTATTTCAAATAGTTTCCTTTGAATAAAAAATTTACCTATAGAAACGATATATATGGCTGGGGATGGAAACACAGAGATTCGAAATATGGTTCCTGGTTTTCTGAAACTTTAAATCTTAATATTTACATCAGGACATCTGGAGGGCATTACATTGAAGAAAACTGGTACTGGAGCAAAATTTGCACAGGAAGGAGTATGTTAAGCAAACATTTAGCTAGACGTAGTATTTCCTATTTATTTTTCTTGGTTTAAGGAAATATTTTGTTCCTTTGCATTGTAGTAAGGAAAAGAGAGATAACAAAAAGTCAAGTGCCAATCTAAAAAATAATGGAGTTCTAACAGTCAGTAGGGGGCATGGTCTTAGTAGGCATCTAGACTCAAAACTAAATAGAGTTGAGCTGGTTAGTATGTGGATGAAAGATTACCAAGGAATATCAGGGCTGTAAACCAGATTGGAAAAAAACTAGCAAAATGAAAGAAAGAGGGAAGGGTTCTATTTTCTTTCCCAGGAATAGTTGAAAAGGATAATTTCAGGAACTCTCCTCTAATTAAAAACCCTGTGCTTAATTTTGTTTATGTATCCAGGTAATGACCAACAGGAATAAACATACGGTAGGTTTGCAAAGATGAATGTCTCATCGTATGCATGATAACATGCAAAAAAAGGAGGGGATTAGTGTGAAATTGAGATTCCTATTTAAAATGTAGTTAATCTTAAATGCAGGAGATGCTGATATAAAAATATAGATAGGTTTTGAGTAAGATTGGAGATATTTGTCCTATCAATTGCCCAAAATAAAATGTTCTAATAATACAGGTAAAACTTGTTTTTCATGGTTTCCAAGGCTAAAATTTAACCCACATCAGTCTAGTAAATAACTAGTATCTGAAAATAAAGATTTTTTCCTCGCTTGCATTTTGTCAGCATCTTAAGAATTTGTAGGTTACATAGTTCAAATGGAAGCAGTTGCACAATAAAGAGGTTTATGCAATTATAGAATGTGGGTAGCAACCATGCAAGCTCATTGGATGACTCTGGGTCAGTACTTCTGTTTTAGCCCAACGTACCTCACAAAATCATTGTTGTAGAATAAAATAGGTCTTATACTGCACTTTTATGTAAGTGCATATAAAATTCTTTAAAAAGTAAATATAATTTTTTTAAATCCCCCAAAACATCAAAGCATAAATTTAAAATATTTTTCTCTACACATATGTGCAATGTGTCTCATCTCTTTGCAGTTACAACCTCCAAATATTAAAGTTATCCATCTCTGCTTTAATAAATGGTTGACAAAATTTAATCAAGAATGTTAGGAATCACTGAAGTACTCCCAATAATGTCTCCAGAGTTTGTCATCAGGGAGGTTTTACTTTCCTTTGAAAGAACTCTATAGATCTCAAGCTTTAAGAGACTAGAACAAATGTTGATGAAGAATTTTTTTGCCCCAATTTGTTTCTGGTTACATTTGAAAAAGCTACAATAATTTGATTTGAAAAACTATATAACTTGGGGATAGAATAGCTTAAGAGATATTGGATACTTTTGTTTCTTTATCTATTTAGCATATGGAAACATACAATATTAAACAGTATTACTATACAATATTAAAGATAGTTTTGTTTCATATTACTGTTTGTGAACAAAAGTTGTTTTCCTCCAGGCGAAGGAGGATCTGCTAACGACAATCAGGGTCCTTCAGGAGCACAGGTTCTCGATAAACTTGGACAAATGCCATCTAGTCCCAATGACTTGTCTCTTACATTTGGGGGCGATTATAGACTCTCTGTCTGGTCAAGTCTTCCTCTCCCAGGAGCTCCAGGACAGCATCAAGGCCGTCACAGTTCTGATTCTGTCCTCCAGTGGGGCCCCTCTCGCCTTGCTGTCTCAGCTCCTGGGCAAAATGATCTCCTGTATCAGCATTGTGCCCTGGGCTTGGTTCCACACCTGGGCTCTGCAGTGGTTCCTACTCCCCTATTAGAGGGCGGGCAGGGGCAACTCAGCGACGAGGGTTCAGGTGTTCCAGGGAGTACTTTGATTGTTCCGTTGGTGGCAGTCCCGGGCCATCGGCCAGGGTTGTTTCTATAGCCACAAAGACTGACCTTAACCGACAGTCTTTAGCCAGTCTTTTCAGCTGGGGGGGCGCATCTTGGCCCCCAGGTAACCCAGTGGCAGTGGTCACAAGAGGAGCTAAGCCACAATATAAACTGGCTCGAGCTCAGGGCGGCCCGCTTGGCACTCAGGAGTTTCCAGCAGGAGGTTTTGGAGCGGCATGTCCTTCTCACAGACAATGTGGCCACCAAAGCCCACATAAATCATCGGGGGGGGGCACTCACTCCAGGACTCTGATTCAGGTAGTGACCCAATTGTGACTTTGGGCAGAGAGACATCTTTCATCGATAAGGGCAGAGCACATATCGGGGTTTCGAATGTGCAGGCAGACTGGTTGAGCAGGGCCACAGTTGACCAGTCAGAGTGGCGCCTGCATCCCAGTTCTGGGAGATTTTGGAGCGGTTTGGCCATCCGATTCTGGACCTCTCCAGTGAACTTTCAACTCCCAAGATTTTTTGTGAGGTTTCCAGCACCAGGGGCGAAAAGGGTCAGTGCTCTATGCTGTCAGTGGCTCCAGGACCTATTGTATGCCTTTCCTCCCCTTCCCCTGATCCCAGGGACAATCAGGAAGGTGCTGTCAGAGAGGGCATTGCTGTTAGCCCCATACTGGCCCAGGAGACTGTGGTTCGTCGATCTGGTTGGCCTGTCAATCTCCAGGCCTTGGAGCATTCCCCCGGACAGAGTCTCCCTCAGTGAGGGTCCCATCAACCATCCGGAGCCAGAGTGGCTCCAGTTGACCGTCTGGCACTTGAGCGGGGCTCTAGAGACAGGAAAAGTTCTCCAAAGTCATCTAGATGATCCAGGTGGCCAGGCGGCCTTCCATGACTAGAATTTATGATGCTACATGGAAGATTTTCTGTGGTTGGTGTTCGAGCTGCCACTTTGATCCCACCTTAGTGTCAGTGGTAGACGTTTTGGAATTTCTGCAAGACAGTTTGGACAAGGGCTGTCCCCTAATAACTTACAATGATAGGTGGCTGCCTTGGCCTTGGTTTCGTTTGAGGACTCAAACACTCATGCCTAGCACCCCAGGGTAAGAGCCTTTCTTAGGGGAGCCATGAACTTGAAGCCATTGGTGGTTCACAGGTATCCCACCTGGGACCTGCCAAAGGTTTTGCAGGCTCTGACTTCTGCCCTGTTTGACCCCTGTGTGAGGCCAACCTACACTTACTCACGCGCAAGTTGGCATTCCTGGTGGCCATTACCTCAACCATATGTATATCAGAGTTGGCGACTTTATCAGTTAGAAAGGACCTCTGTGTTTTTCATGAGGACAGAGTAGTTCTGTGGTTGGACCCTATCTTTCTGTCCAAGATGAACTCCTTATTCCATCATTCACAGGAGTTGATTTTGCCTGATTTCTGTCCAGGGCCTAACCGTGCTCTGGAAAAGAAATGGCACACCTTGGATGTTAGGAGGGCGCTCTGCATTTACATCAAGCGAACTTCTTCAGGAAGACCGAATCCCTGTTCATCTCCTTTCAGCCGTTGACTTTGGGCCGCAGGGTGACACCTTCTACTATGGGTCATTGGCTCAGGGCTTCTATTGCAAAGGCCTATGAGCTGCAGTCCTTCCCAGTGCCCAGGAAGATCACCGCTCACTCTACTAGAAGCATGGCAACTACTGCAGCTTGTTCAGACATTTGTCAAGCTGCAGTGTGGTCATCAGCGACACCATTCATCCGATGCTATCTGATTGACTCGCCTCAGCAGAGGTGACCTTTGGCAGGCAAATGTGGAGGCGGGGACTTCAGACCAGACCAATTCCCGCCGGTAGGACAGCCAGCAGCTAGCTTTGGTATGTCCCAACCTGGATTCTCCCATCGACGGACATGCGTCTTTTGGGGGAGTCAACGGGAAAATCCAATTCCACCCTGAAGTCTGTCTGGTCAGTCAAAAGAAGGACTGCCATTCAGAGGAAGATGGACAGCAGAATTCACTTTGCCTTTGTTTCTGGGGACCGTTACCAGGGAGGTGTGTCCTCAGAATTCCACAGTCTGTAGAGCAATGAGGCTAGAGACTATCCAACCTGGATTCTCCCGTTGACTCCCCAAGAAGAGGTTGATTTTACCTGATAACAGTCCCATTCATGTTGGAGGCAGCATTTAGGTGCTTCTGGGTTAAAAGGACTAGCTGCTGACATATCATTGCCTGGGAGATGCTCGTGAGGGCTCCTTTCACATCCCTGTCAGGTAGCTGGAGTGAATGAAGGGAACCCACTCTGCCACACTGCAGCACTTGGGGCTCAAATGTGGGCTTGCTAACCTCTAACCAGCATCCTAAGCACATCAGCAACCTTGTTTCTTAAACCAGCACATGAAATACAGAAACATGTTGGAAATCAAATACAGCTGATATGATACAATGTTGGCAAGATGTAACCACTACACTCTCAGCAATATACAAACAACATATTCTCCACCAGCTAAAACTTGAAATCATTTTCTAGAATAATTTCAAATATATTGCATCATTATAATAATCCATTTCAACATTGTTGGTGCGTAGATAGCTAGAATAAAAACTTCCTTTTGATAGGATTACAACTGGTATACTAGTCTAAATTAATAAGCAGTATTGCTAGCTGATACCTGACTTCCCATTAAAGCAGAATCCAGGACAACTGCCGAGCTGCATATTTGGTCCTTCGGAAACTCTTAAGATTAGTTGTGAGTCTTCATATATAATAAACTGATTTCTTTATTCAGAGTACTTCAGTTTTGTGTAATAAAATTTGAATAATTCATTCTTCCTTCTCCTTTTGAAAACTACTATTGGGCTATAGGTATTATTTACAGTACAGCTGGAAAAGAATGCTTTCCAGTTAGAGCTTGATTTAGAAATTATATGTCTGATTGTGGAACAATTTTTATTTTATTTCATTGTTGTCAGCCACTCAGTCGTGTCCAATCCTCAGTCACTCTATGAATTTGCACTCTCCACGCCTCTATTTCCCATACTGCCTCCTTCAGATCTGCCATGGTCATCCCAATGTCACCCTTGTGTTCAGCTAGTGGGTACTAGGGTGACGCCTTCTCCTTTTTCTGCTGATCACTCCCAGCATGACTGACTTTTAGAATGACCAAAATAAGACAGCCTCTATTTGGTGATCTTGGCTTCAAGTAATATTTTGGGGAGGGTCGACCTAGGACTTCTTTGTTATTTTGCAGCCCATGGAAGATGTGTAATAGTCGCCTCCAGCACCACAGTTCAAACACACCCATTCTTCTCCTATCTGCTTTTTTCAAGAGTTCAAGTTTCACAGCCATAAGTAGCAATTGGAAAAATTGTTGCGTTAACTGATCTGCGTTTTATTGTGAGACCGATGTCTTTACTCTGCCAGATGTTATTCATACTGAACATTGGAGTCACCATTTTGATCAATTTTAGAGCCCAAGAAGATGAATTCCTTTTAGTGTTTCTCATTGTCAATCTACATTCTGGCCTGTGTGTTCTCTAGCGTTGTCATTATCTTTGTTTTCTTGATGTTAACATGCAGTCTCATATTTGAATCTCAGGATTAGCCTCCTTGCTTTCCAGGAGCAATGTTGTACCATCTGCATATCGGAGGTTGTTAATATTCATATCACCAATTTTAACTTCAATGGTAATTCCTCCAAATGTGCATTTCTCATAACTTTATCAGTCATATTGAATAGTATACATTTTATAGTATATATTTTATCTAATTCTTATTAGTTTTTTATTCTACCCTTCCTTAAGGAGCTCAGGGCGCTGTACAAAGCAGTTCCTCCTTCCTTCTGTGACTGAAGGTGGACTAGAACCTGTATCTCCCCATTGTCAGTCCAGCACTGTGCTCACTGCATTGTATTGCCCTTGAATTTTTGTAATCTTAATGTAGTTGTGCTTTTAATTAAATTTTAAATTACTATTTTCATTTTGTATTTTTGTTAGAAAAATTGACATTTTTTTCTAAGTAGGTAAAAGAAAAAACGTAAAATAAATGTGTACATATCTCTTGTTTTTGCCTATTGAGAATATACTTCATTGCAGAATTCTAGTGTGTGAGGCAACATTTCTTTAAACGCAAAAAAGATGGTTTAGCAAAATTGGTGTTAGGTATGAAAGATGTATTGAGTGCTATCATATTTAATTTTACATCATGAACAGTAAAGCTTAATTAAAGCTTAATATTTATTTTTTTAGTGTAGTAAAAAAATAGATTTTTAAAATTTAGTTTCCTCTCTCTCTCAGGGTTGAACATATAAATCTAGGCACTGCTGTAACTTTTGTATAACATAGATACAGAAATTGCCAAAAGGCTTCTTGTACATGTTAAGGACTTGTTTGGTGCCTTTTATGAATTATTCTGCCTAAAACTAAGTATTTTAATAGCTGGATTTTAATACATAGATTGGAATTGTAATTTCATGAATAAATGTAATATGAACAGGATTGATGACTGAAAGGGTAAGAAATCCTCATATGGTCTTAGTTTTAGATTTAGAACATAACAGTTTTTACTCATTTAGTCAAAACTAGAGATGTAATTAATATAGTGTTGGATACCGTCACATTTATGTCCCAATAAGTATATATAAGATTCAAACAGTAAACCTGTTCTACTTTTCCTGATTATTGTAATGAATAGAGTGGAAATCTATTTTGCTCTTTTGCAGCTTCCCTCTACTCTACTTGGAAGGTTCCTTATGCTGATATGGTAACTTCAGAGTGGCAGTCATCACAAGTGAATAAAGGTAATAATCCCTTATTAAAGAATATAATTTATAGTTTTTACATTTCAGTTTTGAGTTTATGTGTATTTGCATATTGCAGATTAGATAGTTATTTTGAGTAGTCAAAACAATACATGCAGAGATTCACCTTGTAAGAAGCCTGAGATATTAGCACTGGTTATATATGTAAAGTTTAATTGTGAAATACATTCATGGGTCAGTGGATGCATATTATTCTTTTATATTATTCTTTTCAATCTCAAAGAAGCGGAGTATGAGTTTAACTCTGAAATTTTACTAGTATGCTAAAATCACTACTCACTTTTGATGCTTCATCTCTATTGCATGTATCTTATTTCTATAGGACCATGTTTAAAAATAAGAATAATTAAAGAGTCGGATGGGGTTTATTAAGGGTCAAGAGCTTGAAACTGGTAGTATTTTGTAGAAGACTAAATTAGGCTATGAAATTATTTCAGACTATAATTTTATAAATATTGTGCAGTAAATACTATACTGCAAGAAAACATTAACGTTTCAAGGATTGTTATAGATTCTTCTTGGAACTTAAGTGTCTGATACACAAAATCTGCACCATTGGGTTGGCTGAAGTTATAATTTCTAAACAGAAAAATGAAAATGTATACTTTCTTGCCTTTATGAAATGAATTACAGTGGAACCTCGGGTCGCGAATGCTTCTGGCCACGACCAAATCGGGTGACAACCAAAAATTTCAGAAAATCTTTGCATCTGGTCGCAAATACATCTTCAGGTGGTGACCAAACACAGCTGTGGCAATTTCCCCTTCCACGCCATTTTTTTTGTCCGCGCATACGCAGTCAGTCTTGTTTCTGGTCACAACCAAATCAGGTTGCGATCAAAGTCCTAGAACAGATTACTGTCGTGACCAGAGGTTCCATTGTGTGGTATACAATTTCATTGCTGTTGTGCATTTTTTTTTAAAAAAGAACAGCATAGAATGTTGTAATATTTTACTATATTGTTAGGTGGATCTGGGTAAAAGAAGCAGGTACAGTGTCCCCTAGAATTTTGCGCAGTCTTATCTTAGTTATGTTGGTCTTACATGTTTTCTAGCCTACTAAGAGCATTAAGTCCTGGTCAATATAATTCTGTGGCATATGAAGAATTGTTAGCTTGAAGCAGTGTATGCAAAAATAAATAGGTATCCCACTTAGTGTGGATTTTGCTGAAGAGCTACATGACAGCTTCTTGACACAGATTCAGTTATACCAGTGGTGGTTAACCTTTTTGGGCTCCCGTGCCAAAAATTGCGCTCGCATGCCAACACCCAGAAGGCAATGTGCGCGGTCTTCCCTATGCCCCCTGCACATGTGCCGCGACCCTCCTGTGCGCTGAATGTCTCTGCACATGCACATGTGACTCCCCGTGCACTGTGCATCTCTGTGCATGCGTACACGATCCCCTGTGTGCCATGTGCCTCTGCACATGCATGCGCAATCCCCTGCACACCCTGCACGCCCCTGCACATGCATGCACAATCCCCTGCATGCCCCTGCACATGCGCACACATCTCCTGCGCACCCCTTGCCTCCTGCGCATGCGTGCCAGATACCCGACAATCAGCTGGTGGGCAGGCGGTACACGCACATGCGCAGTGCGGCTCTTCTGGGCAACCTCTTGCGTGCCACTTCTGGCACCCGTGCCATAGGTTTGCCATCACATCTTTTTGTTATAATTTGAATAACTATGTTTATATAAGAAATTTCTTTGAAGCTAGAATTTTAAAAAGCAGATTATCTGGGCATCTATTTTATTTGTTCTATTTACTAGTTATAAGGGAAATACAATTTTTTCAACTAAATTACTATCACTTAATTGGAAATATAAGTGGATTTGGCTGTGTATTTGAATAGGAGATTACATTAATATATTACTTTTGTTTGTATTGGATCAAATAATCTCCCTACAATATGTTTTCATGCATGCGTTCTGAATAATTACATATAAGAAAGTTCAATAATTGTATTGTGGGATTTGAGAGACTGCTAAAATCTCCTGTCTCCCTGCATATAGAAACTGTTACTTTTTTAAAAAATACAAATTATATGAAATCAGCCTCTGAAGTTTTAGAATTAAAATATGCTATTTATAGAGCTAGAATGTGTTAAAATTAATATAATTGTCTGATTGCACAATTAATAATTGTAGTGTTTTAAAGGGTTGAGTCCATTAGGCTTTTATTTTTTTCTTCGTAGAAAAGTACATCAGTCTTCTCTATGTATTAACCAGAAGAAATCTAACACTGTAGTAGTGTCCTAGTCCTATTAATACTTTGGAAATTAAGCATTTAAATTTCTATAATACTTTTTTGGTAACTTATATTTAAGCGCTTGATAATGTTTTGCTTCTAAAATAATTTTCTGGCATTCTATTAATGTCAATGTAATATTAGCAGTAGTGACACATAATATGGTAAGAAACATGAAAGATGATGCAAGGAATGTTGTTCCTCTTATAGACTTAAGATTTATGGAATACCGAAAACCAATATAACACTTTAAACTCTGCAAGAACATTTTTCCTACTGTGTAAAGGCAAAACATGCTTGAACGACTTGAAATTACACCTACAATTTGCCCATATCTATTTTTCTAAGCTACTTGAGTATAGTCATTGGCTAAATAAATTTATAAAAGAATGTATGTATCATATCTAACAACAATTTTGTGAATGGCCACTATCAGGATAGAAGTTAACATTGTCTTTTCGATGTTTTATTTTACTATTAATTTCACTTTGGTTCTGCCCATAAAAAATAGAAAAAAAAATGGATGTGTATTTAAACTCCTATATCGAGGTAATGTACCACACATCTATAACATATTCCCCAAACATATATTGAAATCAGTATGTTGGTTTTAAGACTACAACATTCTTTTTTTTTCTTCTGAAACAACAGATTAAGTAATTTTCTCTAGAAATTGTATCCACAACTCTTTTTTAAAGGAGGATCTGTATATTTATGTAAGATCTGTGAAGAAGGATCTGTATTTATGTAGGATCTGTATATGCTGAGAGCAAAATTTTTCACAGTTTAAGAAATGGGACACTTCTTCCCAACCGTTTTAATGTCGGTTGTTATATTCAAAAGATGAACACATCACTCAGTTTTTTGTTTGTTAACCTAATTCTAACCCTGATTTTTACTTTTATCTCTGAAATATTTTTTAAACTCTTAATAAAAAAATCTGCATGCTTTTTTTCTTGTAAGAAAAGTTCTCAGTCATAGACTGATAGAGCTGGAAAGCATCATTAGACATTGAAACCAACCCTCTGTTCAGTGCAGGAATCCAATATCAAAGCAGTTGTGACAGATGGCTGTGTACCCTTTGTTTGAATGCATCCAATGATGAGAAACCCACTTCCTCTCTGCTCATTTGGTGCCTCTATCAAACAGCTCTTACTTAAAAGGCATTTTTTTCTTTAATAGTTAACAAGAATATACTATCCTGTAATATAAAATTATTATCCTGGATCCTAAGCAACAAATCTTGATCTTCTTCTGGGTGAGATATTTTCTTAAAGATAGTTTTCAAATTCAGTTTTCTCTTTTTTCCCCATGATACATATTTTAGTCATTATGATCCTACATTTTTTTTCTTTGAAACTGTATGTATTCCATGAAAGTCTGCACATTGCATTGAGGAGCAGTTGCAAAATATTACCAAAACATCCAATATATTGATTTGCATTTTGGACAGAATAAAAATATTATAAATTCTATGCTTTATTCACTCTTACAATGATACACCAGTATAACTATGCATAGTAATCTGCAACTTTAATTACAATTTTATATTTAGCATACAACCATCATTTTGTTTGTACTTACTGAAATACCAATTTCAGTAAATATTAAGTCCTTTGTACTGGCAAGGGAATATACTGGGATAAATGAGTAAGCAATGTTCATTTTAATTTTCAGACAGACAAACAATACTACATCTCTATAGAAACATTGACTTGCAATCTATTTTAGTTGGTTGAAAAATAGAATAAAATATTAATTTAGTAAACAAATCTATTTAACATTTTATGTAAACAATCCCATAGCAATGGACTAATGCACACATCTTTTGGTGACCGTTTCTCCCTTATTGTGCAATTTGGACATTGTTTTCCAATTCAATTCTATTAAATGCTTTGTGTGTATGTGTGTGTGTGTTTGAGAGAGAGAGAGAGAGAGAGAGAGAGAGAGAGAGAGAGAGAGAGAGAGAGAGAGAGAGAACGGATAGGTCTAAATGAAGGCAAACTCGTTCAAGTTATGCTTCTGGTAATTTCACGGTCATAGAATTCCCAAGCAATCCTTTATCCAAATATTAACTAGGACTTTGTGGTGCTTAGCTTCTGAAATCACTTCAGGTTGGTATATGCTACTATCTGCAACTTGCATATATTTTAAACTATGTCTGGGAAAAGACCTGTCACACAATCTATTTGTAGTTTTCCTTTGAGACATTTAATGATGAATAATGAAGAAAGCAGGATGGATGGATTTGTGTTTTTTTTATAAATAAGTAATGTGATAGATTAAAAATGTCTTTATTTAAATTCATAGTATATTTATGTGTCACTAGATACTTGTATTTGACAAATTTAGATCTTATCTTTCTTTCAAAAGGTCAAGGCAAGATGCATTTCATTCCCTCTTCCAGTTGTCCTTAAACAAAAAAGGTAGGTTGAGCTAAGAGATAGTGACAAGCTAAAAATCATATAATAAATTAAACTTAAACCTGGGTCTTCCCAATCTAAGTTCAGTGCCCTTTGTACACTTTATTCTTTCTCTCACGGAACTCTAAGAATAATTTTTCTTGGTTGCAGTAAATTGTTCACACATTTATTCACTCATCTTTGCTTTATACACTGAAAATGTTTTCATTGTGAGATAAGATGGTGCTGATATGGTTGGTGAAGGAGGTAAGAAATAATTGATTTGATAATTCAGTAATTCTTAATATTTTGTAGAAGGGCAAGAAGCTTGATAAAGATTTACTGGTGGAAGACATATGCTTTTAAAAAAGAAGATGGAGCAAAACAGGAATAGCTACTACAATAGTGTAAGGCAGACTGAGATACAGATTGTTAGATTACCATAATATAGGTATGGACAAAACTGTACTGGTTTAGAGTTAGATTGCTGCCTCTCAATTCAAATACCATTAGTGTTAGCATAACAGGCCTCTGTGACTTTATACTGCATATGTATACTAATAATATCATGGATATTTAATTGGTAGAACTGCGGGAAGTATGTTTCAGTTCTTAGGCTATCTATACAATCTCAGGCCAGATTTTGGGGGACAGGCAAGAAAAATTGTATTAGTCTGTCAGGTCTTTTATTTCCTGAACCATGATGGCCTTTTTCTAATCCTTCCAAACTACCCTTGTATCATTAAAAAAAATCCTGGAAAATTGATAAGACTCTTTCTGAGTGATCATCAAGCTCAAGGTTGACTCAGCCTTCCATCCTTCCGAGGTGGGTAAAATGAGGACCCAGATTGTTGGGGGCAATATGCTGACTGTAAATTGTTTAGAGAGGGCTGTAAAGCACTGTAAAGTGGTATATAAGTCTAAATGCTATTGCCATTGCTATCTGTTTCAGCTGGTAGTAGGATCTGGCTGGCTGTGGGCTCATTTCTACAATTTCCTTATCCTGGTTTGGAGATGGTTCACTTATTGGTTGTTCAGGACCTTTCCTCACAGTTGAGGAAATTGCATCTAATTGCCAGCTTTCTTCTGTGGTAGGCTAAAGCCAAATCAAGAAAATAATGTTTTCCACTAAAAAAACAGTAAAACATTGTATGTCACATAGAGAAAATCTCACAAATATCAACAATCTCCTTTTCTACGCATTCTCATTCCACATTTTCCATTGTGGGTGTCCACAATGTCAACTCATTGCCAGAAGAAACCTGGCAATGAGATGGAGATTCAGCTGTGAAGAATGTATACTACTCATATGCCTTCCAAATCCCTTTGGTGCTCTGCTTTCACTCAGTAGCTGGCCCCAGGTTGGCTCTGGCCTTTCTTACTACTGGGAAGATAGAGAATACATACAAGTGAAATTAATGACAAAAACAGCAGTGGCAGCACTTTGGCTTTGGGGCAGACAGGGAGAAGGATGGATAACAACTACTTTGGTGAACGGAAATTGCAGTAGCATGGCATGGCATGAGATCATAGTGCCCACTCTTTTACAGTAGCATTGGATTGGATCAGGTCTCATGCTTTTCTTGGAAGGCATCAGGTGCTGCAATGAATGGTATAGTATGGTACTAAGTGCTAGCTGCAGCAAGGGAAAAGGATGCCTAGTAGCATATCACTTTAGGAACAGGTAGTTTTGGAAGCAAGATTTCCCACTCCCAGTGGACTCCATTCTACATCCTGAAGATGTAGAGATAAGAAAACAAAGCTCAAGATTGGCTCTTTGTGCTGGGAACAAGCAGTATACAACATCATATCTTGCTGCAAACACTATTTCTCCCTAGTCCAGGTGAACCCGTTGCCAAATAAGAAATGTGCTTTTTTCTATGCAGGGAGCAGTTTTATTAGCTTTGCTGCAGAATTGTGGCAACAGTATCAAGGTTGGGGCAAAGATATGGGAAGTGATACACAGTATTTTTTGTCTCAGGAATAGGAGGAAAGCAAATCCATAAGGATGTGTGTATAAATATCTTATCTGGTCTTGGAAGCTAAAGAAGGTCAAGGTTGGTTAGGACATGGGTGGGAGAATGAAGCAACTCGGAAGAAAACAATAGAAAATCACTTGTATATTGTTATATGTATGTGGCCATCTGAAATAATATTTTATTAACCTACATGATAATTTTTTGAGATGGTAAAAGTCTTGCATATTTGGTTCTATAAGAAGAAAATGTAGATTGAGAGCCCATTAGTTAATTTGCACAGCACTTTGTAAGACATATCACTCATATGTCTGGTGACTTAAGTGTTGTTCATATTTAATAGATGTAATGTTGGCCTCTGATTGTCCAATTATAATAGATATTTTTGAGGAGTGTAGTCTGAATAAGGTATTAACAAGTGCAGTTAGATGGGCTGCTTCTCCTTAAGGCAGATAGAATTTTTTTAAAAAATGCAGCCATACCTTGAGTTACCAGAATTTCTGTCACTAAATGATGCAGTTGTAAAGAAGAAATCAATACTGTGGCTTAAAAGCAGCAGGAGCAATTAAAGTATTTTCTCAAGTACTGCACATCCAGGCAACAGGGACTTTGGAGATTCTTTTTGTGTTTTTCTCTCTCAGATGCTTTCGAAGATGTTGTCTTTGCTGCTGTGCCTGTGGAATGGATGGATGCTTGTTTCTGCTACCCAGAATGCGTCTGCCATCCCTGTGAAACTGTGGGCTTGTTTTCCAAAAGGAGAAGCATCTGAAATAAAGTTGATATGCCGCATGCATGGATTATATGCCAACAGTTCCAATCCTGGAGTGTTCCAGAGCTTGTACATATTCCATGCTGCTTCAGATTCAGTCAGCTGCCATTGGAGAGATTTGGCTAATTGTACTGTCAAGGCCAGTGGAGAAATTGGACATTTTTGTTATGACATGCAAAGGGACAGTTCAACTTTTCATATTCCTGTTTCATGCCGACCTTTGCCAACACATTTGGATTCTCACAGTACTGGAAAAAGCATAACCCAGGACAATTCATGTGACATTGCCCTAATTTCTGCTGCTTTATGGAAATTTGGTGCACCATTGCATCTGAGAACTGTTGTTGGATCCCAACATGATACATTTCTTAAAAATCATTTGCAGCTATCCTTAATTTCACCTTCAGGGAAAAAAACCACCCAAATGATTGTTAATTGGGAATCACATGACTGGGAAGTAAAGGGACAAGACTTAATTAGACAAGGACCCCCAGATTGGATAGTTCCAATTAAAGGAACACATTGTGATCAAAGAGCATCCTCTGTTAAGTTTAAATTCTATGGTCATATTTCCATAACAGAAAATAATGGTGAACAAGGGTTGTATCAGCTAGAACTAGGCTTTCAAAACAAAACAGTTCTTCAATTTAACCCACTGATCACAAACCTTCTTTCACTGCGCCATATGAGAAATCCAGTTATTGGATCTCATGTGTTAAAATTAGATCAGCCTGAGCAAATTGTCAGGAGCCCACAGACCTCTCTGAAGGAGGTACAGATTAATTTTGAAGGTTTGAATGTATCACAGAAAATGCCCCAGTGCTCTCCCTTTCTTGATATTAGCCACAGAGGTTGGATGGAATGGGTTAAAATGTGGGAAGGAGTACACCATGGAGAAAGAATAAAAAGGGAATTGTTAAATTGGCTGGGTCCCCTGGGGGCAGGAGTTTCTTTTATAGATGCAGCCAACATAGAAGTATTAGCTAATAAACTTTCATATTCCACAAAACAAATAGGAAAACTTACTGCCCCATTGACCAAATCTTTCTCACAACTCACAAAACAACCACAAGCTATCAGTAAAGTGCTTCCAGTCTGGGAAACAATTTTAGAAAATGATAACATACTGATAGTCTCTGGGATTCAATCTCTCCAAAATAATGTTTCATTGGCTTTAGCATGTGAACAAGCCCAGGTAATCACCCAAAATGTAATCATGGATATGATTCGAGAAGCTAAGGCAGGAAAAATTCCCATGGAGGTAAGCAATTTAATTCGACCAGAACTCACACCAGGTGAAATTGCTTTAGAAGCTTGGTGGAGACTGCTAAATGCATCTTACGACTCTACTCAAAACATTCTGCGGTTATTCTTAATAACTGTGGAGGCCACTCAGATTATTCCTATCTATCCAATAGTGCCCCTGGGATTCCAGATTGACAGAGACTTGGTCATGTATTCCAGAGACTCTAATAAATGGGCACACTTGAGAGATGGTGAGTGGCAAAGTGTTAATGTGCAGGGCTGTGTTAAAAAAGAGAATTTAGGCTTTGTATGTGATGATAACAGCTTAGAAGAGCACCATGAATGCTTTTCTCCTCAGCTTATAAATAACTCTCATTGTTCTTTTGATGTAGTCCAAGAAGAAATGTCTACTGTTGTATATACTGGCAAGGGCTGTATTTGTGTTAGAACTCCATGTGAATTTATAATAATTAATAGTGTGATCATCCAACCTATGCTTCCCTATATCAATCGTTGCTTTTGCAATATTAGCGTGATTGTAGGATGTGATTTCCAGTTTCGTGTACCTGTTTGGACAGTGCAACATATGAAAGCCTATCCCTCTTTATATAAAGAGATATTTCCTATTTCACTTGGACTTGGCCTTTCTACTCTTAAAAATCTGCTTTCTCACCCCTCTCTCAAGCAAGAATTACTGAAACTCAAAGATATGGGTGAAAATGCTGCTCTTGAGATTCACCACAACAATCAGGAAATTGCCCAGATTGTAGCAAAGGTTACATCAGCTGGAGACCATGCCTGGTGGGAGGTGCTCCTGGGATGGTCACCAAGTTCAAATGGAGTACTAAATATTGCTCTACACCCTATTGTGATGATTTTAATCTTTCAAGTAGCACTAGTGATTTGCTTATTGGCATTGGTCGGGTGGATGAAATGGCAAGCAAGTCGATTGTATTATCTACAGAAGCAGATAGTTTCCACCAAAACAAGATGTGATGGAAATATGTGCTCAGCCACCTGCCATGAAAAGGGAGACACTACTGTGTCATGTCCTTTTGAAAGCCATATTTAAGTTCTTAATTTTAGTTTCTTACTTACTAAATGTTCAATAGTCTCCCACTTATAGAAAATAATATTTGTTTGCAAGGGTTGTATGCTAGCTTTTTGTTGTTATTAAGGAAAAGTTAATGTCTTAGTGTCCGAATCTCTTGGGTGCACAAAACCCAAAATTCCTTCTGTCTCAATACAGTCAGGATTGCTGTTTACAGCTTTATAATTGATAACATCGTACATATTTTGGTCATTGTACTATTGGTAAATACACCAATTCAATATTTAGTACTCTTCTTTTCTGGAAATAACTTGGGCATTTCTACTTTTCTATTTCTCATGGAAAACCTTGATATCCTTCTTGGTAGAGAGATGGTTCTGCTACTTGAAAGCACCAAAACCCAGTACTCCATTTGTTTCTATTTCAGATGGTATTTTAACACAGTCTGAAAAAAAATTGACTTAATCCTACCAAAACCTTCTTTTGTATATGTTTATTCTCAATGACAGCTTTTAGCTCACTGAACTCATTGCACTCATTCTCTTTTAATATCTTTCTTACTTCAGAGATATTTTGGTTGTGATTTTATCTATTATTGCTTTTAATAAAAGCGTTGTTTTGTTCTGATGTCTCCTTTGTTTTAATTCATGAGAATGTGAGGATATCCTATTGAATACTCACAAGTTATCAATATTTAGACACTGATGATTAAAATTGATCAGCACCTTGTTCTTTCTGATTCACAGTAAGAGAGGTAATTAACTCAGCTTTCTTAGAGGTTCACAAATATTTTGAGAGTGATAAGCATGTTTAAGGGAAATCTCTGCAATTGTTAGTTGCTTTATGCTCACGTAATGATGATTGGCTGACTTGGGCAATTATTTGGTTGATTTACTAACTGTCCTCATTTTTTGATGCTATGATGAAGTTTGGTTGTAGATATTTTTTAAAAAATAAATGCATTCAAACTTGGTCCTTTTAAAATATTAGATATCTGAGAAACAAGTTGAAAAACAGGTTTATGTATTTTGGATCAAAATAAAAACACTGGATATGTATCTATATCTGTGATGGAGTGGCTAGTGAAAGTACAACTAAAGTTTTCAGATAATAATGACAAAATTATATTCATGCACTAAATATCTCTTTAATATCTAACATCATAAGAGGATGTCTGATTTACTTTGGCCAAGTCATGCATGCAAATTTATTGAAGAAGGCAATGATGCTAGAGGAATGGTTTGTGGAACAAAAAGGAGAAGCAAAGAACATTGTGGCTTGATAATATCAAATCTGATACAAAGTTGAACATGCAACAATTGAAAGAAGCTGTGCTTGATAGAGTAGAATGGAGAACACTTGCCTATAAAGTTACCAAAAGTCAGATACCATTAAATTAAATGGTTAAAACAAGAATAATTATCTCACTGTTGAAGCAGTAATCTAGTTATTGTCTGGATGCCTCTTGTCATATTAGTTTTATAATTTAAATCCAGGTTGTATCATTAAATGCAGAAGTCCTAAAAAAGCAAGTGACCAATTTTCTCTTTAAGAAGAAAAATCATGTTCAGATGAATAGGTTCTGTATTATCTTTCTTTGTTACGCATATTTGCTAGGAGTAATTTATCCAGTAATTAATTATTCATCGAGGTCTTTAATTCTTTCACATAGTGCAGAATTACATGTGATAAAGAAGCTTTGTTCTTAGAATGTAAGTTGCAATTCCATAACAGTGGCCAGTGTGTTGTGAATGTAATTGGTGCCATTTATCAATAACATGCTTCTGCCATTAAGATGTTGTTTTATGATCTGATGACCTTGGGAAGTTTTGCAGGGTTCTGCCTATCTCTAGCAATAATAATTGTTCATAGCAGCATTTCCTGTTTTGCAAGTCTGTTCTGCCAGTATATGGGTTGTCTGCCAGTTAGATACAGTCTGCCATTGGATATGATCTAGGACAGCACTAAGACCGTGGTGGCAACTGCTATCATTTATAAATTGGAAAATAGTATACTTTGTTGTTTTTCCTTTTAGAAATTCAAGTATACAAAGCAGATACCTTTTTTTTAAATGAGTTCTGGGAATAAGTTGCTGATTGATGCTTATGTAAACACAATAGGTACAATGTACTACTTTTATTTCCACTGGTGTGAATAAAAATAGGAATACATGTTCTAGAATTGTGCTTGTTCTCTGGAGGTTTAGAAACCTGACCTGGGTCACTCCATATGAGGATTTCCCCCTAGTTTGAAAGCAGCTTCAGATCCCGGTGATCTTATAACTCTGATATTGTTAAAAGCAAAGCCTATTTATTTCTGGTTCAGAGACAACATAAAAAACTACACTAAAATAAATTAAAATTTGTCACTATTTTGACTACTTTATACATGCTTTATAAATTAATATCCTATTCTGAAGATCTTTGAAATATGAACATCTTCATCACTCTATCTCCTAAATTCGAAACAATAATTACTACGTTTTTCTTCAACTATATGTTCTATAGCAGGGGTGTCAAACTCAAGGCCCGCGGGCTGGATCCAGCCCGTGGGGTGCTTTGGCTCATGGGGCTGGCTTGGAAATAGCATAGGATCAGCCCGCAATGCCTCTGGCAGCCAAAATGGAGCATGGGGGAGCCAACATGAGTGCCCTCTGGACCCTGTTTTTGGCCTGGATGGCCTCCAGCAGTACTCTGCCGGTCAAAATGTGATGAGGAGGGCCTCACGCAGCCCCCCAGCCCCCCATTTTGGCCGGCTGCAGGAGGCATCCATCCGGTTTCCCTGCTTCCTTCCTAGCTAGCTCGTGGAGAACTACAGTGCAGACCCAGCCCTCAAAGAAATCCACTTTGACACCCCTGTTCTATAGAGCTTTAGTTGAATTTACAAGGAAGTTAAGAATTTTGTAGATGGATTGCAGCCCCACAGACTCCATTCTGGATTGCAGATTGTGTTCTTGTCAAGTTCTCATTTCACTTTTTCAAGTCTGTTGTATGCTCAGGAGGAGCTACAAGGATCTGCAAAGAATTTACAATGAATCAACCCTGGCTGCATTTTCTTATTCCTGCCATTGCAGCAAAACTATTGGAGCTGCTGCAAAATAGTTGATATCTGCATTTTTGTTTCCCAAGTCATAGTAACATTTTCACAGAAATAGAAGGATTAATGCTTTTGTAGCTGGGTAGGTTCCCTTGTATCCAGATTTTTTCCCCATGGTAAAAAGGGGGCCAGGCAAATGCATGTCATGTGTATTAAAATGTATATGTGGGATAGAATTTCTCATTCATTTTTAATGTATGTGGTGAGGATGAAGAGTTCTGTTACTTCAGAAACTGTATAGCTTAGAAGCAGGGCATTGACTGAATTCTTCTCCCCCCACCCCACAGTGTGTCTCTATGTATGTATTTGTGTGTGTGTGTGTGTGTGTGTATGTTTCCCCCCTCTCACTCTCTGAATTCTTAAGCCACTGAGAAACAGCACTAATCAGTTGATGATTTAATGTTTAAATACTTCATATTTCAAGGTTTATTTCAAATTACTTTTGAGGGGTTAGGGAGCAAAAACAAGTTTGACATACTGTATGGAGGTTCTACTTATCAGGCTTTCATTCAGATTTGTCTAGATTTGTTTTTACGTCTTTTGTAACTGAATTAGGCAACCTGAATGTACATCAAGTCACAAATAAAATTTTGGGGAATAATAAATCATACGGTAATATAGTAACTTAGCTGTTGAACTGTGAGGCAGTTATATGTTTTACATCCAACGTAATATGAAATGCAGGAAATCCTTTATTTTATCTTCTGTAACTTTTCATCTACAAGTAGGGATTTTTTGTTTTTGAAGACAGCATAATTGCTAAGTTGCAGGTTAAATAAATGCATTCATTTTTTAAACACAACACATTGCACATGCTCATGCACATGTCCTCTTAGAAATATTGATAAAGGTTATTAGAAGGAGAGGAAAGCCATAAGACTTGTTCTTCGCACATACATGCATACACACTCATGCTGTCTCTGTTTTCTTCTTTATTAAATAATCAAGGATTTTCAGCTGGATTATTTAAGGGAAGGAAAGCCTAAATTGCCTCCCATTAATCTAATGAGGGTTGCTGGGAGGAAGGAGAAAGCCTCCTAACAACTTGCCATACCAATTGCTGATTTTTTTCCCTGCAGCATAGAAATCATGAAGTTGGCCTATTGTATAGAACTATAAGGAAATTCTAAATAGTATACAGGCAGTCCTCGACTTAACAACAGTTCATTTAGTGACTGTTCAAAATTACAAGAGCACTGAAAACAGTGTCAGATTTCCTATTCATGTTTTTCTTTCTGAGTTGCTTGTGCAAGATCAAAATTTAGCATTGTTGGTAATTTACTCTTGAGACTAGTTCACTGCAGTTAGTTTTCTGAATCTTGGTGTTCACATTATTTCCTTATATCATTTATATGCTTTAGTGCCATAATAATTTTTAGCCATAATTTTAGAAATCCACTGCAATGGACTACCTGTTCTGCAGGCCTTTAATAGGCTATAGTTACTATAAATGCTGCTATAAAGATGATAGGAAGGACTACTAGTCAGTTGAAGAACAGCAATAGCCAGTGTCGTAATGATGTCTGTGATTCTATAGAACAGAGATCATATAGTCTTCCTGATGATGCTGAATTCCAGCTCTTGTTCTCTGTGGTGAGTTCAAATTATTCAATAATGTTATACTGGGTTTTTTTTTTTTTGTTAAAGCAAAAAATGCAAAATACCTTTCCCATTGACAAGAAGCTTATTAAACAAAGTTTGGCATTTATTGTACATACTTCGATGTTTTTTTTTCAACTTCTGAAGATCTTGCCAAGAAAACTATAGGGACTAGTCCAGGAAGTTACTAGAAGTCAAAGGCACAAAAACAAACAAATCCTATTCCAATTATTTTTGCGATGTGTTCACTGTTGCTTCATCTGTTTGTTTTAGTTATTAAAGAAAATACATTATGCACTATAGGTAGGCCAGCTGCATATGTACTGTTAGAAGCCAAGAAATTCTTAAAAATTCAGCACTTTAGCATTTAGTAGGGTATTCAGAAGTTGCTTATCTGGCTGGTACAGCTGTTGGAGGTAGACCAAACATGAATCATTTAGGATAAGAACACCTGCAGTTTATTTTTTGCTATTGTCACATGCAATAACCATCCGGTTTAATAAGTGTTCCTTTCTGCTTTAGATTTTATATTTGTCAGAAACATTTAATGGGGGAGAGGTGGGAAACTAAAGATGGAGATA